ATACAAATAAACTTGCTTTGCTTTGATCTTGAACATATTTACTTTTTATAAATAAAGTCGTAAGTGGAATAAATATGGATACAAATGTATGATGGGCCAAGACAGTAAAACAGCTCCCTCTGGTGGTAGTAGTAGATTACTGTCTTAAAATAACATGCAGTTGAAGAGAATCTGACTTTTAATTCAATTCAATGTATCTATATATATTGCACTCAAAAACATCAACAGTTGTCTATAGGAGAACTTTCAAATGTTGTTGATTCGCCAACAATAGATCAGAGAATCAAACTGTTCAAAAACAAGAAATGCAATAATAACAAACACGGAGGAGCCAGTGGTCCATAGAGAGCGGGATGACCACTGTCCAGAAATGTTCATAAATGTCCTTAAAAGTCATATTAGCATGAATTTAGCATGAATGTTATATTGTTACAAAATACAATGGGTCCTTTTAAATAATATTGTTTAGTTTAAGAAGATATTTCATTCATCGGTAAATATTTATCAAGTCAAAATAGCCTCCAACATTTTCTCCAGAGAACTCATTTTTCTGGCCGAGCTCTGTTAAAGGTGATGTCTGGTACTATAGTATGTTTTTTTTGTTCATTGTGACTGTTACAAAGTACTTACTAGTGATTCTGCATGTCTTCAGTCTCCAGTTTTAGTACAAAGTATACATTCTGTGCTCTAAAAGTACTATGTGTGTCTGCATTGGTGAAGGATGTAACAGGTCATACAACAGTAAAACAGACAAACTTAAAAATATTATAATAATAGTAGTTTGATTGTTTATTTTAGGACACAGAAGCACCACGTTTTTACAAGCAAAAAATGAAACAGATAAGTGCCATTAGTAAAAGGCTTAAAGAAGCTATACCCGATTATTTTTACAGCCACACTACAAAAAGTTATGAAAAATAAGTTATAAATTGCTCAAAATTGGCTAAATGTATCTTAATTTGAGCAGATGCTGACTGCATTAAAACGAGATTTGCCAATGGGTTTAAAAATATGCAAGATGTCGCTCTTGGAACCAGAAAATTAAGCGACAATTCTTAAAATCTTGTTTTAAGACAACCTTTTTGCAGTGAAGTTTTAACCCATTCTTGAGCAAATCTTCTTTAATTTGCTGCTGGTACCAAAACATGTTGAAGATTGTAGCAAGAGGAAAACAACTTTTTGACACAATTTCAAAGCGTAGATATAATAAATCTTTATTGTGTGTATTTATATATATACAAGAATATATTTGTGTCCTTTTTCTTGATGTCCAGCTGTCAACTCTGTTTTTCCTATGGTCTTAAAGGTCTCTGATGGTACTCTTGCTGGTGTCTTTTTAATGAATATGTTTGTAGGGATGCACCGATACCGATACCGGTATTGGGTCGATGCCATAGGCTTGTACTCGTACTATAGGATCCAATCCGGGGAACCAATACCCACGTTTTAAATTCACATTAGTGTCACGACAGCAGACAGCTGTGGCACGTGTTGCCATGGTGATCTCCTAAAGTCTACAGCGAGAAAGCGTTTTGCCACTAGCTTAGCAAAACAAGTCAACCCCTGGATTCCAGAGGCTCTGAGCTCCACAACAAGGTGTTAGGGATGTACCGATCCAGATTTTTTTGTAATCCGATCCGATTTCGATATTCTTAAATATTGTTTTGCCAATACCGATCCGATACCGATCCGATAAAAAAAAATCTAATATTTTCTAAGCATTAAAGAATTTGCATTTTTACCTGAATAAATAAGTTTGTCGTGTCAGCTAACACACGTTAGCAGCCTTGTTTACAGTCACGGGGAATGAGGCTCGAGGAATATGTTCACAAGCAGTCTCCCCCATAGTTAGTCCTGGTTCATCTCCTGTTTTGTGTCCCCAGACGGCTCTGTGCGGCCGCTCTCTGATAGCCGCACAGAGGAAAAAGTTCATCTCTTGCTTTCGTCGCATGCACCAGGTCTCTGTGTCCACTGCCTCTGCCACACCGCACATGCTATGCCTCACACGGACGTGCATAACCATTGATACGGCATTGAAAAACAATCTTTAGATCCATGTACGCTACGCATTGTGCGTTTGTTGTTTTTGCATTTCCCAGAAAGTTTTGCGGTTCACGCTTGGCTGTGATAGGTTGAGAAGCCTATGCCTACATCCCCCAGAATGCTGTGCGCCTCTGACTCAGCTTTACTTCCTGTGTTTTCGTCCTGTTTTTTCTAACGGAGTGATGTTAAACTAACATTCTATCGACCCCGTTTTCTATTGATATCGAACACGTGTCTATCGCAATATATATGTTGTTTTATCGCCAAGCCCTAGTTTTACATTGTATTTAGTTTACGGTAGCCGTAAAGCGTGAGCATGCTGAAAAGTCACGTAAATCGGCTTCATATTTAACAAATCTGATATTATCTGATCCTTACAAAATACCCATATCGGTCCCCGATACCGAACTGAATATCGGATCGGTACATCCAATGACACAGAGGGCCGCATTTGGCCTGAGAGCCTTGGTTTGGACATGCTAGCCCTTGTGATAAGTGTTTCTAGCTCTTACGATTATATTAGAAGCATAATTTTCTTCCTATGTTTGCGTCCCCTTGACAGAGCTAGCTAAACTATTTATTAGACAATAAACCCAGATCTCCCACAATGAACCAATCCGCTCTGTCAAAACTACAGCACAAGATGTTTCCAGTAATAACAAAGGATTAACTCCAAAAATCATAAAATAGTAGTTAATAAATGCTTGAGTTAAATGGTCTGATCTATACTAGGGAGAAAAACAGGTTTGGCAACAGAAGCTGAAAATGTCATGTTTATCCTCAAATATCAAGAAGAAAACCGCTACCACAGCACTCAGAATACAGATACAGATCATGTAAGTTAATATTACATAAATGTGTCTATAGTTTAAGCCTGGTTTTGTAATTGTGTGCTGGTTTTTTTCTTTGCAAAGGATTTAAAATTAGTCTTTTTCATTTTTCCGAATACATCCACTAAAGTTGAGATTTTTCACCGTCATTTCAAATAGTCAAAAATCATAATATTCACTGCTACTGTACATATAGTATACTCGCACAGATGCATAGACACCAATTTCACTGAGAAGCTTCCAGTAATAACAATGGATTAACTGCAAAAATTATATAATATTGCATCATGATTACTCAAATTAAAAGGTCTGTTTGTATAATAGTGAGAAACTCCGTCTTAAAGCAGGTTTGGAAACAGAACAAGCTCAAAATGTCATGTTTATCCTCAAATATGAAGAAGAAAACTGCAACCACAGCATTCAGTGAACAGATAAAATCATATAATACGTATTATACTTACTATCAAATCTTAATGTCAGTCAATATATACACACAAAGCTACAATTTGTCTCTAGTTTAAGCCTGGTTTTTTCATTTTGTGCAGGTTTTACAATAATTACTGTCTTTTCATCCACTAAAATTGTGATTATTCTTGCTTATTGGCAGAAAACGTCACATTCATACTATCATTCCGTACTGTACATATACCACACACACACGCATACACAACATACACCAGCTTCAACACATGCCAATATATTTACAACTATACCTCATGATTAAACTTAAAAACCATTAAGTTCATATAACCTCCTCACGTCTCCGCCCTTCTACAGCGTCATCCAAAACCGTGCGTAATTCTTAACAATATTTCAAACGTCAGATCTCCCACATCACACTGCATTCCTGTGACCTCACATGTTTGCCTCCACATGGCTCTCTCTGATATCGCAGTGATGTCATGGCAGCTCGGTGACTATACAGCCCTTTCACCCATGCAAATACATAATGTCACTTTATCTCATTTAATCCAGACACGGTCGCAGAAGTATGCAATAAAAAAAAAAAAGTGACGTGACGTGACTGGGAGGGCTTACGTATCCACACAAATGCATGCATATCAATAGAAGCAAGTGGGCGTAGCAGCAGCAGTCCACATAACCTCATCTCTGAATCTCCATATATATACCGCGCTGTGGGATATTGCTATTTGAACGCAATTACTCCGCGTTATGATTGCACATGTCGCACATATTGCACGCCCACTCGCTGTTACGTTGCGACACGACCAATCCACAACAAAGAAACGCACGCACACCTCGATTCGTTTTCATTTTTTTATTTATTTAAATTATGTTTCACTTTAAAAGCTCGCCCCACCATTGTCATAAATGTGCAATAACGCATTTCAACGTATAGTGCATTACGCAAATCAACAGCAGCTGCCTTGAAAAAAGAAAGAAAGAAGGGGGGGTGAAAGAGAGAGAGAGAGAGGGGGTGGTGGTGGTGGTGGTGGTGGGGGGGGGGGGGGGCTGGAGGTAGGCCTAGTATAAGCAGCCAGCCGCATATGGAGAGCTGTCAAAATACAACCCGGGCCTGTCGCACCGTCTCTGGGTTCGCGTCTGCACGCTTCCACCCCCTTTGCTCCACCACCTCCGAGTCAGAATACGCCGTCACGCCATTGGCACGGGGTTTGGCGTTGGTGTGAATGCGACAATCTGTTCTTTCATCACTGTTAGACGCTAAGAAGAAGCAATAGCAGTGTATGTATGTGTGTGAGTGAGTGTGTATGTATGCGTAATGTGTGTGTGTATGTGAGAGAGAGAGAGACAAGCGTGGTGGTGGTGGAAAGATAGCTTCGCAGGCTAGTGGTGCGTAAAAAGGCGAAAGGATCGGGCCACGAAATTGAAGGGGATTCGCGACGATCGCCGAAGCTTATTGCTTTGCGGCGTGCGTGTGCGTAATGACAGAAGGGTTTACGCGTCAATATGGCAAAGCTAAGAGGCTAAGTGGGGGGATAATACTGTGTGTGGAGGAGGGTGTGGAAGGTGATCAGAAAGCTACGATAAAAAAGCCCACGTTTGCATACACACACACATACACACACACACACACACACACGTACACATACAGCACGCGTAATGTCCATTCCAAATCCAGTCCAGTCCAGTCCAGTCACTGCTTACTTTCCAAGCTCCTCGTACAGCTGGTATTCATCCGTGAACCTGGTGCAAGTAGCGGGGGTAGCCATGGTTCGGAGCCGAGGAAGGGGGAGCCCGAAGCTGGGTAAGAATGAACTATAAAAGACGGGAGACTAGGCGCGCTTGGCTTTGGGTTCGGTTCGATAGACGAAGCCAGGCTCAGCTTTCAGTTTTCTGGGTCCAATTAAAAAAAAAAACAGGGGGGGAATGGAGAAGAAAACGAGAGAGGGAGAGAGAAGAGGAAGAGAGAGAGAGAGAGAGGAAGGGTGAAAGCCTAGCCTCCCTGGAGCTCTTGTGGATTTAGGAGCGAGTTGCCTTCTCTCTGACAGGCAATGCAATGCACAGGCGGTCGGGCGCAGAGCAGAGCAGAGCAGGGCAGGGAGTGGAGGTGGAGGCAGGGGGTGGAGGGGGGAGTGGTGGTGGTGGTGTGGTGGAGAAGTGACCAAATCTCGCGAGGGTTACGCATGCAGCAGTAGTAGCAGTAAAAGCAGCAGAGAGAGAGAGAGAGAGAGAGACAGGAAAGGGAAGTCTGACTGCAAACCCGGAGCCGCAGTGTCAAGGCTGCGTGGGGAGAGCGCAGTGCAAATTAAAGGCAAGGCGAGTTTTTTTGTGTAGCACAGTTCATATTAAAGGCAATGGAAGCGCTTCACAAAACAAGATAGATACATACAGACAAGGCTTTAGAATCGGCATACATAATCACAGAACATTAGAAAGAGTGAAGATACTGTACAATCCTTCAGAAATGTTTTTATCCTGGATTTGGGTAAATGCAGGATTGCCAGAGGAGAAGCCTGTCTCACATGTTCAAGATGACTGTTCTAGGTTTTAGCTGCATGACTCTGAAATGCTGCCTCATGTTTAGTCCTGACTCTGGGCACCAACAGGAGGCCAGTCCCTGTGCTCCTCAGAGTCCCAGTTGGTTCATATGGCATCAACATGTCACAGATGTACTTTGGTGCAAGGCCATGGAGAGACTTGTACGCAAACAGAGCTGCTTTTAAATAAATGAAAAAATAGGTCCATGGAAGTTTTTTGACAAGAAACAAGAGAAGACAAGTTTCAGTTCAGTTCAAATTATTATTTTTTAACGCAGTGGTCCTTTGATTATCAACCAGTCTCAGACAAAAGAATCTCAATCACACAGATATTTGAAATGGAAGAGTTGATATAGTGTTAGTCTGTATAATCTGTATACTCAGTCTTAGTTTGTATTAGCAGCTTTTTACATTATTTTCACCACCTTTAGACAATTCCAGTTAGACAGAGGGTCTTCTAAATGTGGTCTTCTCTGTGCAGGTGTGAGAAAGCAGTTCTGCAGACTTCCCTCCTCACAGCAGCAGTGAAAAATACTTTGAAAATGGGGGAGATGCGGCTGAATTCTTTGCCTTGTTTAGACAAAGAAATACATTCCTGCAGAGGTTTTCTGTCAAGACTTCATGCATTATGCTCTGTAGTAAAAGTTAAAACCGATCTGATGACTGATAATAGCTCCCATAGCTCAAATTCCTGCGGTTCTTCTTTCGCGTTAGGTTCTTTGATCTTTGCTTAAAATTGTATCTAGTTTGATTATTTTACGCCATTGCTTAATATTGGCACAGAACATAGACATTTATATATATTTACCAACACTGTGTGGCTCCCCCAGGCTTATTCCCTTATGGTGTACCCCAAGGATCCATTCTCGGCCCATTGATATTTCAACTTCTAATCTTGTACTGTTATAGGTGGGACATAATCGGCAAATGAAGAATACAAATCAATTGCAACGTGAATTAACATGTCTATCTTCTTAATACATTTATATCAAGAGTATTTGATGTCGCACAACTATAATACAATTTTAGAAGAGTAAACAAAAAATGGGGACACAATCCGTCCATCTTTAGCTCAAAAGTGTACACCTTGTAAATTGATAAAAGCTTTACTGTTGTTCTTTTCTTAATGTAAATCAAATCAAATTGGTTTGATTTGAAAAATGTTTCTATTTTATTGTTTGTAGAAAGCTGTTTATATCTTTTACACGTTTTTCTGTTTTGTTTACCTGTGTGCATTCAACATTTACCACATACAATTATAAGCGTTTTAGAAACTTTATAAGTATGACTTGTTGAGTTTTGTAAAAAAAATAAAAAGGACTTTCAAATATAGTCCCTAGTTTTATTGTTCCTAAAATACCAATTTTGTCTCGGCCTTTCGTCTCGGTGCAGCACTTTGTGAACGTGTTTTATATAATGTGCTATATAGATAAAGTGGACTGGTTTGGTCAGCTCTTCCATGCCTCATGTATGATCCGAGCATTCCTCAAAGACTAATGGCCATAAAAGTAACTGTTATTGCTGCTGCGTAGATGGATTTCTTGAGAGGATTTGTGTGTTTCATTACTCCAGTGGCACTTGGATGTACACATGCCTCCTCTCAGTGAGCAAGCATGTGTACATAAATAACATTGTTCAAACCAATGAAATGACTTCGAGATGCGATTTGTAACGCTGAAGGTTGGATTAGAACGTCTTTTAAACAGTTATCGGGTTTTTAAGAAAGATTGTATCTCTTCTTTCTGCGAATTTTTTTAGAATTCTCCACAAACTCTAAGATTCTCTAAGATGCTTAACTGTTGGTCCTGTGACTGTGTGGTTTGGTAACAGATGGAGAGAGACCGGAGAGAGAGAGAGAACAGAGGGACCAGATAGAGAGGACAGAGAGAGAGAGCGTAGAGAGAGAGAGAACCGAGAGAAACCAGTGAGCGAGACCAAAGAGATAGACCAGAGAGAGAGAGAACAGAGAGACCAGATAGAGAGGACAGAGAGAGAACCGAGAGAGACCAGAGAGCGAGACCAAAGAGATAGACCAGAGAGAGACCAAAGACATAGACCAGAGAGAGAGAGAACAGAGAGACCAGAGAGAGAGACCACAGAGAGAGAGAGAGAGCATAGAGAGACCTGAAAGAGAGAACAGAGGGAGAGAGACTAGAGAGAGAGAACAGAGAGAGAGAGCAGAGAGAGGGAGCCGAGAGAGACCAGAGAGCAAGACCAAAGAGAGAGCACAGAGAGAGAGCAGAGAGAGAGTCCAGAGAGAGAGACCAGAGAGAGGTGCTCCACTCTGACTGCGATCTGGATCTTTTGTCTCTGAAAATCACCATAGATTCCATTGTTTCCATCGCCAATGCCTCTGTGGAACGTTCAAAGCGTCATGGTCCGGAGTCGAGTGTTCAGTTTGTCATTGTTTGGGGATTTGGAGATGTTTTGGGCCCTTCCTGTCGTCAGCAGATGCAGCGCAGCGAGTGGAGTGGGTGGAGAGCCACGAAGCACTCGCAACACAACAACAACACAAGAGTTTCTCACTGACAACAACTTTTTGGCAAAGGATTCTACACACGACCTCGCGCTTTACAGTCTTTATCATGAGAATGTTAATTAATAGTTACCTAATGTAACTTAAGTTCTACGAATAGGTGCGTAGTCCCTTAGCGGACTTCGCTAGTGGGATATCACGTGACCCCCAGGTCACAGACGCCAGAGAGATCAACAAAAAATGCTCCAATCACTAGCGACCCTCCTCTATAAAGGCCCCTGCTCCATAGCCGCGCCCCCTCTTGAACTCTGCCAAGCCGGGCTGGCCTGATGGGCTCGTAGCTAAGGGACTACGCACCTATTTGTAGAACTTAAGTTATATTAGGTAACTATTAATTCTACGTCATGGTGCTACGTCCCTTAGCGGACTTCGCTAGTGGGACACAACGCGGAGGCCGTAGGAACATGTACTCCCAGCAGGCCAGCGAAGAGTGATTGGAGCTCCGCCCGAGTAAGACCCTCACAAGTGAGAGGACTCAGGGCAGAACAAGCAATTGCGTGTTACAGGGCCACTCCTCCCAAGGACACCCCCAAGTAACACAGACCTAAGGCCACCCGTAGTCCCAGGACGCCTCTCCCAAGAGCTCCTGACGTGGACTACCTGACTGACCAAAGCACACACATATCTCGCACCTGCAGGACGCCACTCCCAAGAGCTCCTGAACCAGGGCGGAAAGTCACCGTCGGCCCCTAAGAGGGGAACACAAAGGTTACAACTCAGTCCGCTGCACTAAGCATGGAATGGGCCACCGACCGGTCTGACACATCCAAAAGGTAAGACCGGACGAAAGAAGAGGACGAGGCCCAAGAAGCAGCACGGCACACGTCCTCGACAGAAGCCCCCCTGAGGAGGGCCGTAGAGGCCGCCACCCCACGCGTGGAATGCGACCTGAAGCCCACCGGGGGGGCCAGACCCTGAGCCTGATACGCCCGCCGCACAGCCGTGGCGACCCAGTGCGCCAGCCGCTGAGCCGACAGCGGGGCGCCCCTGTTCTTGGGGCACCAGACACACAAACAGCTGATCACCCAACCCGTAAGAAGACGTCATGGCCAGGTAATGCCTAAGCATTCTGACAGGACACAGAAGGTGCCGCCGCTCCTCCTCGGGGGAGGCATGCGGTGGCGGATGGAAGGCCCTAATCCTGATAACTCTCGACCTGAAGGCCGACGTGATGACCTTAGGGAGAAAAGCCGGATTAGGCCACAACTCCACCAGACCGTCACCCTCTCCAAAGGACAGGCAAGACGCATGGACGGAGAGCGCACACAAATCGCCCGCCCTCTTAGCAGACGGCAACGCCAGCAAGAGGGCAGTCTTAAAAGCAACACACTCGGGACTCGCCTCCGCCACCGGTTCAAAAGGCGGGCCCGACAGACCCCTCAGGACCACCCTGAGGCCCCAAACCGGGGGCGTTCTCTGAAGCGGGGGCCTCCAGAAAACGTTTGACCAACGGATGAGAGCGGGCTGTGAGCCCCCCGAAACCGTCGTGACCCGAGGTAATGGCTGCCGCGAACACCGCCAGGGTGGCGACAGCCCTCCCTTTGTCAAATAGTTCCTGCAGGAATCCCAGGACTCCCTCGAACGGGCAACGCCTGGGATCCCAGGAGAAAGAACTGCACCAGTGGCTGAAGAGCCTCCATCTTGTGGCGTAGGCCCTCACAGTGGACGGCGCCCTCGCCCCCTGAATAGTCTCCAC